CTCTCTCGTATCTGGCTGGAGAATTTTTTTTCTCCTTTTATATTCATTTACAACATTTATCTAAAATGTAATCATTACATAGGAATAGTTAACGGCGGCTAATTGCCACTCATCCTGGTAGCATGCCACTTGGCCAGGTGTAATGATGAGTTCAGCTGAGTTGGCACCGCCTTATGGTGTCGGTCTGGCAAATCATAGATATCGGCTTGTGTAATTATAACCGATATGTCATATCCGACATGTAGTGACCGACATGTCATAACCGACATGGGATATCGGTCAATTGACAAAGATGTCGGTTCTCGATGAATTTTTACCCGATATGTGATTGTCTTGAAACCCGTGAAGACATCATCTACTTGTACGAATTTAATCATCCTCCTACTGAACATAATCATTTGATCAACGTCGCTTAATTTGGTTTACCGAAAAATGATGTCAATACTAGGTTTAGTGTGAGTTCTTTTTCCGCTATAACTACTTCTCCTCTCCTTGACGTCGAGCATATGTTATAACCTTTCCTTCTGGCATTTCATCCATGCTATTTATCTGAAGCCAACTTTGCGGCTGATCATATGGCGAGCCTGACAGCAACCCATTTTGAATCAGAATTATGTTTTAGTCAAGTAACTCCAAGAGAGCGTCGGAGGCCGCCGCTGCGGAGATACATATATTATATATGTAAATCCGATAAAAATACAAAAGTTATCAACTTTTAAAATACATTTACAATTCAATAATTATAATGGAAAATGATATTAAAACACAATTAATACATCTAAAATGATCATAAATAAATCAACATATTTATGGTAATTCGAACCTAATTTTTTTTATTGAAACTAAATTAAAATATTATTTGTCCAAACCTAATTGCAAAGCATGATTATTTGACAAGTAGGATTCTGAAACACCAGAAACAACCATGTAGGCTCAACGCCGTCGAGAATTATATATAGGGGGATCTGGCCTTTGTTCGACCAATTCCCGTCGGCCCCGACGTTCCTCGAGTAGCACTGGTAACTCCTTCCCTTCTTGCCGTTGACTTTCTTGAGTTTTGTGAAGGAATAACGACAACCGCCGTCTTTTACCTGGGAATCTTCGAACAACTCCCAAGGCTCCGTTTGGCCGTAGAGGTCGGCTATGAAGATGAAGCCGTGAGAGGGAAGAGGATTAGCTTTGACGAACCCCAGGAGATAATCACAACAGTCAGCGTCCCGCAGCTTGAATTTGATTTCGCCCATATTTTTTTTTTTTCTGTTTCGAATAGTAGATACTTGATATTTATAGGGGGCTTTCCGTTGTGTTCAAGTCAAGTAAATACTTATTGGTCACCATTGGATTTAAATGCAAAAAAAATTGTAGGTTGAAGTAGCTAATCGCTATTATTAATTTTGCTTTTTAAGAAGACACTAGTACAACGCCCGTGTATTACACGTGTGTTTGCTAAAAAATTTTCTTAAAATTTAAAATTAATGAGAAAAACTAGTTGAGAATTTAAATACTTTTTGTAAAAAAATATATATTACTATATATTTTAGTATGACACTTGTTACTTGTGCGACTTACCTGTGTTATATTATAATAATTTTTCTAACTTATAACACATAACAACACTAAACATAAATATTATTTGTCTAATTATTTTTATTATTTTTTTAATTATTATAAAGAGAAATATAATTTATTTATTTTATATACACAATATGGATGTCAAACCGAAGCTCATCAAAAGATGATTAATTTGATATATTATATATGTAAAACTGATAAGAAATACAAAAG